TCGTGATAATCGGACAGACTGGTGTGCTGTATACCCGTCCATATGATGGATGCAACTGGTCTCATAGCTGCTCGTGTAGGGACACTAGGGATACAATACAGGTGCTCATTGGAGAATGAGTTCACTGATTGATCCGCTTACGGAATGCTGGATGGTTGATGATGCATTATTGTCAGACAGTGATTCCTTAGTCCTAGTGATATATCTGGTCCTTAGACTTGAGACACCAAGGATGTCCTGTATAAGTGCTCCACTCTTTGATACCAGACTTATAAGTTTGGCTGTCACAGATTTAGTACAGTTGGTCATTAGGAGTGGTAGTCGACCTTACGAGGGCTATTGAGTGTCGATAGAGGATTATCCACTCTCGGCGTCATGAGAGGAATATCCCATGTGTTCTTGCTCAATAAAATCCCTGGCCAGGGTCATTCGGGTAGAGAGAAAAAGAGTTCTCTAGGAGAATCCGATTAGAGCGAGACTCGAGTAGAAACCATATGGGTCTGACACCACCATGCTCGATATACAGTCTTTGGGATATTAGATGGATAAGAGACTATAGGTACACGGTAACTGAGGACAGACAGGTCCAATGGATTGGATTCCCCTGTACCGTCTGGCGACTACGACGTAGTGGCCTAGTACGTCCGTAATCGATGAGTCGAGTGAATTATTACAGAGATAATAATTTACTGAGTTAGAAGGAGTTCTGATAGGTATGACTCACGGCTAGCTCGATATTGGGCCTAGAGGGTCACACACATATGGTAGGCATTGCGATGAGTAGAGGTTCGGATATGAGATATCCGATGGAGCCCTTGTCTTATTGGATATCCAATAAGCCCCTGAATTATTGGATCCCATGGACGAGATCCAATAAGAGCCCATGAGAGATTATTGGATAGAGATCCACTAATCTAAAAGGCTTAGGTTATTGGATGCAGATCCAATACCCACTAGGGGAGGATCCATTAGGGTTTGATAGGGGACCTCTATAAATAGGAGGGATTCAGAGCCTCATAGGCTAGAGCCTTTGCTTGCCTCTCCTATTCTCCTTCCCCTCTCCACCTCAAAGTAGGCTTGGAGTTTTGAGAAGCGTCGTCGCAGCCCTACTGTGTGGATCACCGCTAGAGAGGATGACGCTTGATCTCTTTCACCCTCTCCTAAGGATCTACAAAGAAATAGGGATATACGATCTCCCTAGGTAACACAATCTATTATATACGTAGTTTTTCAGTTTCGTGAATTTTGCGCACCAATCTTCGCACGACGATGAACATCTCTTTGGAAATCGGGGATTTTGTTTTCTTGTTCTTCCATTGCGTATGTGATGCCACCCCCAAAGATTTTTCCAACACATATGGTAGGTGTTACGACGAGTAGAGGTTCGGATATGAGATATCCGCTGGAGCCCTTATCTTATTTGATATCTAGTAAGCCCCTGAATTATTAAATCTTGTAGATAAGATCTAATAAGAGCCAATGAGAGATTATTAGGTAGAGAACCACTAATCTAAGAGGCTTGGGTAGTTGGATGGAGATCTAATACCCAATATGGCATGATCCATTATGGTTAAGTTGATAATGAGCCTTTATAAATAGGACAAAACCAAAGGGCTATAGGCGAGACCCCTTTTGGCTACCACCTCCTATTCTCCTCTCTCTCTCTCTCTCTCTCTCTTCTCCGCCAACAGTCCATATTTGGGGCATGTGGACAACCACCCCGCCCATGTGTGATTGTGTGTGCGTGTCTCCCAATGACCCCCATGATCATCATGATGCGATCGTGCACACACATACTGCTCAGTGACCCCGTTAGCTTTGGGCATCTATTGACGTTCACCACAGCTAACAAATGTCATCACAATGGCATTGTTATAACTGTCATAGCCATTCCAAGTAGTGATAGTGCTATTGCAACCATCGCACGTAACAGTAATCACCATAATCGTGTCGGAAGTGGCACTACTGCAGCCATCGCACATGCTACAACTACTATAAGGTTGTCGCAATCTACAGTGCTTTTGTTGCATATATAGTTGTTGCTCGCTTTTGTTGCATATATAGTCGTTGCTCGCGATTGAGTTGGCGACCACCAAAGACCACCACCCTTAACAATACTATTGCCGACAGCAAGCTATTGATAGTAGTCCATCGATCAAATATGACAAACCTCACATTGCCTGCAAGCAAGTGATAGGACAAAGTGGATAAGAAAGCAGACTGACAATATAAATAAATCGTTCATGCATCATAAATAAAAATCTAAAAACATCTTTTTACGAGCAAAAGATGCTAACAGATAGATCTAATATATTTAATTTCACAAACATGACTGTGATATCAATTATAAGTATAAAAATCATTTTTATGCTATTGTTATGTAAAAAAATTTTAATTTCAAAACCTAAAATTAAATATGATATATTATATTTATAATGCATACTTTTCGATGTCATTTAAAAAGCTTTTATCTAATTTACGGGCACAGCATCATTAGATCCAAAAGCTATAGTAATGTTAACCTATAATGAGAACTAGACTCGCATTCTTCTCTCTTCCTATCTTTCATAGGACCACTATGAGTGATGGATTATGGATAAAGGGGAGATGAGAAATGATCTCTAATCGCTCATTGACTAGTTCACATAACTAAAGGGAGATGAGAGAAAGATCTATAATCTCTCAATAATATCATGTATCCCCATATCTTTTTATTTATGTATCTGTATATATATACATTGTCTATTTATAAACAAGAGTAAATAATCTATGCTAAATAATTAAGAGAGTCTTTTCCATCAAAGTCATATCTTAATAAATCTTACCATAATTAGATTTTCTTTCTATTGACTGATAACTATAATCATAATCCAATCATATCCATAATATATCTTACCTAATTAGATAAAATCACATAATCTAGTACAATAAGTTGCAAGGTACTTAGGGGGTGTATGTAATAGGTAACATAGTTGTTTACCGGAAGGAGAAGACTTCCTTCTACTCTTGTTGATATTTTGTGGAATGACCTTAATATATAGGACTGTAAGTAGAACCTTAAAGATCTAACGATAGAATTGATATTTTGTGGAATGACCTTGATATATAGGTTAGTAAGTAGAACCTGAAAGTAGTATTTCTTATAAAGGAATCATAAAACAAAAAAAGAACTTCCAGGTTCTTGCTCCTCGATCCCACCCGTAGGTAGGCCTTTCTTATGCTTGGACCTTTGGATTTACTCGTTACTTCTTGAATTCGTAAGTGTGATCGTAAAAGGGTGTTATGGTGTTTGATGAAATGCGTTGACGATCTTATTCTGGTCTGAATAAATTTCTTTGGGTTTCTGGTATCCTCGTTGCTTGGGTCTTTAGATCCTTTTGTTACTGCTTGCACTTGAATCTTGTCCGTTGGCTGTGAATAATTTCGGATGAATGCACCCGTTTTTCTGTAGGGAAATCTGATCCTCCTCTCTATCTAGTAGATCTATCGTTGATGAAAGACGATGCTCATGCTCCAGTCCTTTGCCTTGGCGATTTGTCGATACTCACGTAGCTTGCAGCACCGTCATTCGATAGAAGGAACCCAGACAACTTCGGTCTCCCAGTTAGAATGAACAAGCAATTGCGTTCCTCAAAACATAGGACACTAACATTGCATAACTTGTTCATTACTACGAGTATTTGCTATAGATAACATTCACAGCATGCTAAATATGCAGCGCTATGGACAGGATCACATTGGGTATAATGTGGACATTTTTCTATCCTTAATTCGTCATGTTTTCTTTATCATCTCTATGGAGGTCGTAATTTATCCCATTCGGAACAATTTTCTATCACGAAGCAAGTCTACAGAGTGTCACGGTATTTGTCAATTGCTGTTTAGAAGTCTACAGATTGTAGGAAATGACAATACGATGCTCTGAATTAATGAGACTTTTTCTAAACTAATTTTAATATACTTTTAATCGAACTTTCGGTGAGTTTGTCCAGAAAAGTGATGTGAATTATATTCGTATGCTCTACTTATTGTTATACCTAATTTGAATTATATTCAAATCCGTCGTTTATGTGTTAATGAGTCGGGTGTAGTTATCCAATCCGCTAATCAGAACCTCTGCTATGAATAAAAAAATTCTTTAAAAAAAACTGCAACTTTTTTATTTACAATCTCCTCCTCTCTCTCTCTC